CAAAATGTCAGATAATGAAATGGATGAGACATATAATAAATTTATCAAAGAATTTGGATTGAAATATAAATGAGATAATGTAAAGAATCTTAATGAGTGGAGATACTAGGATGATCTTTTTTGCACAATCAAAACCTATTGAAAGACAAAGACGATCAGGCATTGGAGGGAGAAAGCACTTAAGCAATTTGTATATGCTTTGCCCAGTGTAAAAAATTAATGTCATTATTCCATATATTTCTACAATCTGATGCCTTTTATCTTTCGCAAATATTAAGTCTGATAAAATTATCATATTATCTGCATGAACTTCGAGGGAAAATATGATCAGATAGTATTGAGAAGTTCCAATATAGATTGTTTATTCAAGGTGAAGAATTAATAGTAGATTACTGTTTAAAGGCGAAAAAATGTAATGATATCATCAAACTCTGTAAAGGTCATTTTAGAAGTGAATTCTATAATAGATTAATGTAAGAAAATATGAGTCGTATTGTAAAAATGATTATTATCGTAAATTGGTAGAAATGCTTATTCAAATAAAAAAAATCAGTGACTGGTATTATAGCTGAGATTAAAGATTATATTAGTCAGTCCAGCATTGCTAATCTAAATGGAATGCAATACTTATTGAGAGGCATACATTGGATAACCAACCTAAGCAAAGGTAGTCCAAATCAGTGATTATTAACTCAGAAAATTTTTTTTAAGCCACAATACATGTACTCCTGTATGATAGAAAATAGGTTAATTATATGATCAGTTTATATGACATATTAATTTTACGTATAATCGAAAATAAATTATGTATGTCAACCTTTAGTCTATTTTTTTCCTGAACAAATATGAGAAAATGTGAAAGAAAGTCTACATGCAACACAGGATCTACTCTAAAAGTAAAAATTAACATCAAAAGCATATGTTATAAAAGGTTGAGGATTTTGGAAATTTAAGATTGCTAGGGTGTAAACCAACTATGTCTTTACAAAATATGATAGCAAAATTACTCTTAGTTGACCTTTAACCTTTACCAATTCATGGTTATAAAGGTCAAAATTAATCAAAAAAGTTAAAATTAATCATAAGGGTTATATGATTATGCAGTTGATTATCAATAGAAATTTATTTTTTATCATTCGATCAGCATTTCTTATACAAATAAAATGAAAAAAAATTTTCATCAAAGCAAACAATCTGGATATTTATATAAAAATTTCATCAGTATTTGACTATTATGGCTATATGTAGAAAAATTTAAAAAAGTAAAAGTGCATTACTCTATGTAATGTCATATATCAACATTTTTTCAGTTTGAAAGAAGCTGATTGAAGCTCTGGATGAGATATTATGCAATTCAGGTATAAATGAAATATACTTTTTCGGAATACTTATAAGAAAATAATTTTGAAACTTGCAAACAATATTTTAACTAGCTGAGCAAAAGAGTGGCTCAAAATCTTATATTCATGTAAAGTAAGTAATGTAGATTTCTTATTTCTTGCTTATACATCTGCTAACTGACATTATCAATATAGATGAACTTAAACATGTACAAGAAAAGCGGAAAGCAGATAAGGATTGACTATGAGTATAAATACGTGTATGGTATTATTATGATAGGTGAGAAGATTGTTTTAAGATTTTTTCAAGTTTATGTAATACTAATTTACTTTAATCTTTGAAGGCATTTTCTGTATAAGCAAAACTAAATATTAAATCTCACTAATAGAAAATACCATCAAAAATCCTACTGACTTGTGCAAGAATATGCAAAGGATTTTAGAGGTTATAATGGGGTTATTAAAAGATAAGGTATCAGCTAGTGAAGAACTTATAAATAAAAAGTATTGTGTATAAGAGATAATTTAGAAAAAAATAATTGTATAAGACACTAGCATAGATGTTATGTATTACGGACAAATCCTGAACATTTGTATTTATTTTTCATATGTATTAATAAAAAATTTTCTTGGCAAAAACCATTCTCTTAGAGAACGATCAGCTGAAATAACCTATATATTTTACTTGACTGTTTCTATATATATTAATGAACTTTTGAATATTTTTATTCTTATATAAAATTTATCAATATCAAATACTCAATTTAACGATTCATTAAGAGAATTAAATGCCAAACTCTTAGCTGAGATTGCTAAGCTTAGAAAGAAGTTTGCTAAAATCGAGAATGAGAATGCTGAGATTCCTGAACCTAGAAAGAAGATTGCAGAGGTTGAGGCTGAAAATATTAAGCTAAGACAAATTATTAAGGAAAATACAAGACGTAATGTTAGAATTAAAGAACTAGAGCAAAAAATACAAAGCTTGAGATTAGACTCGTTATAGTAGAATAGAGTTCTGTGACAGTGAATGGACAATCAAAGAATGATAAGAAAGTAATTGCAAAGCAATTAGCCCTATTTTCTTGCATATACTTAGATATAGAGATAAAAGTAGAGGCAAAAAGCATTAAAAAGTATTTCACTAAAGATTCTTCATCTGATGATAATTTACTATTGATTCTTGATTATAGTCAAGAAAAGCAGGACCAATCTTTGCCATCTTGTGTGAGTGATCAAAATCATCAGTAGACAGGAAAATGGATACTTTCTTGGATAATACACATAATAAAAGTGTTAGTGATGTAATAAAATGATGTAATAAGGAAAAGAAACTTTTATGTGAGACAGTCTCCCTTAAAGTATTACCTTCTGTGAAAAATAATTTAACTGTTTTCTTAGAAAACGATAAAATTGAAAGTAGTACAAAAACTGTTTTCTCAGAAAATGATCAGATGGTTTCAGAGAAATCAGAAAAAATTGAGAAAACTTCAAAAAATCAGCAAAGGTTATTCAAGATTTTAATGACTCTGATGAAATTGAGCTCACTAAAAATCAGAATATAAAACTTGATTTAATATGAGATTTACAGAGTGGCAGTATTATTACTTTATCTTTTAAAATTAGTGAACAGTATTCATCCTCTTGCGAAGCATCTTATAGTCAAATTACAATACAAAGCCTAATCTATTTATTTTGAAATGCAATACGAGCTGAATATGAAGAAATTTTGTCCTAGATTCATTATTCAGATAATTTTGAAAATAAGGTTGTTGAAATTCATTGTGAGACAGAAGTTACTGATAAAATTGCAAAAACTCAAATATACAAGAAAATGTTAGAACATCTAGCTGGTGTTACACCTGTTACCTTGTGAATTAAAACTCTTAGAGCTAAAAAAATTCGCAAATTGTTTAGAAAGAATAATGTAAGGATTGATAAGATTAAGTGTGTTAATTGCAGTGCAAATGAGATTTCAAAATTAACTAATAAACAAATTCAAAATGTTATAGATTAAGTAACTTCAAAAACTGTTTTTTCAGAAAATGATCAGAGTCATATGTCTTTAAAAACTACCAATAGTGATATATCTTCAAAATTTAAGATAAACGTTTCTATCACATCTCGTCTACCAATTCCTAGGACTACTTATAATCGATCCTATTTTCACAATAAGACATTGGACCAATATCCTACTTTATATAGAGAATTTAGTAATAAAAATTTTGACTATTATAGTATTACTGATAAGACATCTTATGATCCTAAAGGACTTGCCTATTATGCAGTTTAAATCACAATGATGAGGAAAGTATAGAAGGTAGATATAAGGCTGGATCCTATTTTATTAAGTGTGAACAGCATGAAATTGAAATAATTGTATAGTCTCATTATTTTTTACACATGTCAACTATTACTTAATTAGATTGATTTGCAATTATAGAAAAGTTAACATGACTAAAACTGATAAAATATTAACTCCTGAATACCTGGATTAGCATGTTAAATTAAGTGGGTTACCAAGATTTTAACAGATAATATTCGGTCTAGCTTATACAAAAAATATAAAAAAAAAACTGGGCATGAGCCATAGCAATTATCAGAAGTACATGCATTAGAAATCATAAATTTGATACCAGAAAACAAAAGTATCTGATTTATCTTTTTCTGAACAATGTGAAGAAAAAGGACCTATCACTTTTTAAGTTAAATCTGATCCAGAATTAATTATCAAATCTGTCTTAAAGCATTTTTCATACTTGAAATTTAGAAATAATTTCAGAGGATTGATAATTATGATTTTACATCACCTTAGCTGTGAAGGTCATCATGTCCTATTTGTGATAAAAAAATATGGGAATTATAGATTACATAGTTCATAGTACTGTGAAAATGGGAATCAGTTCCCTTATGATCTTAAATTAGTGAAATTGTATTCCCAAGATAAGCTAAAATATTGTCTTACCTGCAACACTTCAAACAATAAACTCAAGTTCAAAATCGTATCATAGGCATTGAGATGTTTGGTAAAATTCTTAGGCTATGTAACATTTTTTTAATAATGTTATTTTACAATACTAACAACTGAAAATTAGTATTAACGCAAGATTAACAAAAGAATTTAGCTTTTATTTAATACTTTAAGAAGAGCTCTGAAAGGTTTACAAATAATTATTACTTCAAATAATAGTATATATTTAAAATAAACTTTTACAATTTTATTAAAGAATAAGGAATTTGCTACAATTATATTTGTTAACATATAATTGTTATTAGTATTTATCTTATTGGTGATAAAAACTAATTGAGTTACTAATATAAATAAATAAAATACTAATTGTTATAAATAATAAATAATTAATAATACAAAATGATTAATAATATAATAGAGTTTTCCAGCGACTTCTGGGTTTTTCGCATAATCTTTATTTAATTCATTTCTCTCATTTTCACTGTCTTTATCATCTAACGTAATGCAGTCAATATGCCTTTTAGTCACGTATGTCACATGATCTTTTGGATTAATATCTTCCTATAACAATAATAAATTATTTCAAATTCATATAACTAATCAATAATCAATCAGTATAAAACTGTGTGATAGCTGATTTCCCTATTTTTCCAGATTTGAACGTTGTATTACTATTTTTTTTACAAATAACTATGTCTGTTACATTAGTCAAGGTCATTAAAAGTGAAAGCGAGCAGACGTTTTTGAATATATAAAGTCCAAATAAAATGAGTTTAATTTTGACGACGAAGATATAAATATAATTGAGAAAAATAAGGTCTCTGGTCAAGTCTTTATTACTTTAATAGAAGAAAAGCTTTTAGCCTCTCTGTATATCCTTCTTAGCGGATCAGTTGAAGTAATAGTACTTTTGATCAAGAAACTTATTTGCAAAGTGCAAGGTAAGTGCATTGCATTTCTAATCTCTTAAACATTGCTTTTCTCATTATCTTAGCTTGTTTTACATTCCATTTTTTATAATAAAATCTTTTCATGAACTAAAAAAGTCAGAAAAAAGAAGTTTTTAAAAAAAAAAATGATTTACAAACTGCTGAAGCTACATATGCTAATAAACCTCAAAATCCTATATCAACTTCTAAAGAAAGTTTTTAAGAAATTAATTTACAACCTGCTGAAGTTACAAACTCTCAAAATCCTATATGATTTCTGAATTCTAAAATTAATATTTACTTATCCAAAAATGCTTCTAAGAAGCTCTATTACTATGGTAAATATTTGCAAACATTATTTATTTCTTGTTTATGAAGCACATATTAATTTTTCTCATTTTGGTAGAAATTTGAAATAAACACCGCAGTAAATGGTCAAGCCTCAATGAGTTTACAAATTATTTACACAATGTCAGTAAAGATCGTGTATATAATTCATTTAAAAAAGAGATCGCTGTTTTAAAAAAAGCTGTTTGTGGAAGAATATCTCACTCAATTACATCTTGCATAACTAAAGGGCCAACTAAAGGTAGTGTATTGACTAAGAAGAAGAAACAGTTAGTGGACTAATTATCATCTACACAAACTGTATGCTTGTTAGTAAGCTGGTACTTGTTAACAAGGCGTTTCCTTGTTTATTTAGATTATTTCTAAAGGAATTTCGTATCTGATTACATTTTATCATTTTGGAGAAAAGAAGAGTGAAATGCATCCTCATTTAACAAGTTGCGTGCTTGAGAGTAAGGTATATCCTTGTCTGCAGGATGCGAACTTGTTTTACTATCTCCTGGCAGAGATTTTATTACCTTAAGCAGGATACTCGTAGCTAGCTTTAGAAATGTATTTTAGAGAGGTTTTATTGATTTGGTATGACTCCTGATTTTCTAAAAAAGTTTTGCATTCACTTAGGCAGAATTGATACCCTCTTTTTTATACGCATCACTTGCCTTAAATGCTTTTAGCAAGGATTTAGGATTAGAATAATATTTAATTAGGCAATAATATATATTACATAATATGAGATTTTTTTCGATTCTCTGTACCTCATTAGGATTTATTACAATTTGTGGTTGGCTCATTCTTAAGATAGGATTATTATAATAGTACTATAAATTAGAATGAAATACCATATTTGATCCAGCATATTCACAGCTTTTAGATATGAACTAGGAGCTTTGTAGTTAGCTTCAAGATAAGATTTTTATTAATAAAAGTAATGAAAAAAAAATTCGCTCTCTTGTGAAAAAGCTTGAGCAATGTTATCAAACTATCTCATTACAGGATAATACTATCATAGCTTATGAGAAAAAGGTAGAGAAACTTAAATCAAAAATATCTGATTTGCAAAAATAGCTTAAGGTTTTATAACAGGATAAAAAATTTAAAGTTGAGGTTAGGTCTATTCAAGATAGCTAAATCATAGAGCTCAAAAATAAGGTTGAAAATCTTAAAGTGAGAATCCAGATTCTTATAGATAAAAAAATCCCAATAAATACTTTAGATATGACAATGACTAATCTTATTGCAAATATTAATAGAAGGTTAGATCGAATTGAAAATCATATTAGGGGGCCAGTACACCTATGCAAAATCTCACTAATGTTATAGATGGAATCAGAGATTTGTTAAATACTATTTAAGTTACTTTGCAAATATCACAACTGAGAGGAATCAATATCAGAATCTATTAAATGATTCAATTTAGTGAGTAGAAGATCTTAGAAATAAGTTAAATGATAGCAGAAATCAGAATTTATAGTTATAACATTTATTAGATGAATTCTACATTCAGGTTGAAAGAACTTTGAGAAAAAGAAATAATGCTTAAGAAGAGTGGAACTTGGCTATGTTAGCCTATAATAATGCGAGACGAGAATCCTGTTACTAGATGTTTTCATATCAAAATAAATATAAGCATATTCAAGGATTATTACAAGAAAAATTTGCTAAATAGCTATTGTATCAGTGAGATACTAACTGTCTTCAATAAAATACCTGACAGTTGCAGACTAATATCTAAAATCAGGTAAATAGGATGTTAGTTATTATAGCAAGAAAACAAAATCGCATTAGTGAATTGCTATGTGAGAAGTTTGTTTTTCAGCTAGTGATTAGGCAAAGAGACCAGAATATTTTAAATTTGCAGGAACAAATTTTGGCATTTCAGAATAACCTAATTGCAAATATGGCTGACGCTAGACGTTTATTAGTATTAAATTTGATTGCACCTATTTCTTGCTAAAAATAAGCTATATATAGGACAAGAACCTCCTAACGATTATTTAGATATGCTTATTTAATCAATATCATTTGCATAAGGACATATGACTATTCTTGAAAATGCAAATGCTAGAGATTTTAATAATACTGTCAAATGTGATATTTATAAAGCTCAGATAGGAGGAAAATATTTATCAGTTCTTACCTAAGATCCATATAACGAAAATGTTTCTATTAATACTTCAGCTACTTTACACATTTAGATGAGATCGAAATATTAATGTAAAATAGTAGGTAGTTGGCAGTCAGCATTCCAAAGGTTAACTCAAGAAAGATTTCTACCTACAGATTCACTAGATACTTATGAAAAAAAAATCTGACCTTTATTATTAGGTGTAGCAGATGGTGATGCTTAAACTGTAAGATTTCTTAAGAATTACTTATTGAGTGATCTTTATACATGGATGCGAGCTGTTGCTTCTGATGGTATTGATGCATTCTTTATACAACTTAAAGATATGTGGTTGAAGCATGCTTCCAATTTAAATGGGTGTCAAAATTATCAAAGTAATTCTTCAGCTGAGATTGATAAGTTAAATTCCAAAATAGCCTTCCTTGAAGTACAGTTAGTTCAACCAATTCAATCACAATCCTAAAATAATGATGTTTTAGAAAAGATGTATATACGTGAAATACAGTTAGAAATACCAGTTGATGCATCAAAAGATCTTACATCCTTAGATAATTAAATTAATAATAAATTAATAAGGAGATTGGACGTTGCTAATATTAATTACACTAAGCTTTTCAAAAAATACTCTCAAATGGTTAATGTAATCAAAAAGTTAGCCAAGCATAAATGCTCTAATTGTGGTAAAACTGGTCACAATTCTCGTAAGTATTTCAGAAAAAAGAAAAGTAAGTCTAAAAAAGGTAAAGTAAATCTTGCTACTTTAGATTCAGGTTCAGATTCAGATACTAACTCTGATATATCATCTGATAACTCTTCAGATTCTGATTCAAGTTTTTCATCTGAGTTCGAGTTTGAAGCTGATATTAATATTAATATTATTAAGACAAAAAAAGTGAAGAATCAAATAATCCTTCCCCTTCACTAAAAAAGAAAAAGTGAAATTTAAAGTCTTTGTCACAGAATAATCAATCCTGCTTGAAAAATATTATTGAGAAAATTATTGAGATGCTTAATGAAAAGTTTAGTATTATTATAGCCTTTTTTCAATTATAGAATTCTGCTTTCAGAATACTGGTTAATGATAGAGATGATCTCACTTCAGATATTCCTAAAACTTCAGACTTAAATAGAGAAGACGAAATTCTAAATGAGCCTATGAAATCGATTTCATTCAGAAAAAAAGATCTTACTACAGATGTCGTCACTATTAAATATAAAATTAAGCATCTAGTCATTTCAGGTGCTGTAGTTGATCTTGATGCTAATTTTGCAATTATAACTGATGATATAGTCAAACGATTAAAATTAAAAATTGATACAAGTGGAAGGCATAACCTTAAAGGCGTTGCTACAATCCCTATAGAGTCGCTTGGTACAGCTAAGAATGTATCAGTATATTTTGCTCCTGGATGTATCATATATTTTGATTTTATAGTAATCAAAAACCATTGTGAAAAGCTGATGTTAATTTTACCCAATACTTTACTTGATAAATATAACTATGATTTACTTGCATTAAAGTAGGAATTGAGACTAGAGTGTAATAATAAGGAATTTTTTATCCTAATTTATATACATATGATCAAGAATAAGCTTAAGGTAAATTGTGCAATCACTACTTCTGAATGTGATGATTCCTTGATTTCAGATAGAATTTCTCAGAACCTATAGGACTTAAGTGAGAATAATGATGCATTAAATTAAATAAGTTATAAAGAGCTTGAAAAAATGTTATATGATTCTCTCAAATCTAAAGTAGAACTCAATGATACATATAGAAGATTGCAGATTCATTATAATGAGCTATTAGGTAATAGCCAATAAGCAAGCTGTCTCTGCTTTATTTTTTTTGTCTTCCTTAGCATCTTTTTCATAAAATGCTTTTAATTCTTTTCCATGTATAGTCCCTGATGAAAAAAATGGCGAACACATTTTTTAAAGGTATGAAAAATTTTTATTATTAATTGCAATTGTTTTTTTTTATTATTTAAAGAGTAATACTAACTCAATATTTTTTATTATATAATTAATATTTTGTATGGCCTCCTCCTACGTTGATGCATTCTTGAACCTGGTTTGGCATGCTTTTAATGTACCGAAATAACACACCATTATCGAGATCATCTCATTGCTGCCAGATTATGGTAAGAAAATTTACTGAGAGATTTATTTATCTTTTGCCACCAAATCCTTGACCTTTCTTTTAACAGTTCTCTTTAAAACAGCCATACATTCTCGATAGGATTCAGGTCTGGGCTGTACGAAAGTTTAGGAAGAATCCGCCCTGAAAGATGATTATTCAAGTCATACTGAATGTTTCGAGAGGTGTATTATAGTTATTTTTCTTGTAAAAACAGAAACGTAAATGAGGATCGTAAGCTCACCACGTACGGTACGCTCATTGACCTTGAATTCGTCATCATTTTCTTCCTACTTTACTTTAATTTCACCAGCCGTAGTGAAATGATTATTCTACAAAAATTTTCAATTGGCGGCATTTTTTAGGTTTCCTCGGTCAGCCAGATAAGTATTCTATAGAAATATTACCAATTTACGTAGAATACTGGCATATCGCTCACATGAATTCCTAATTTTTGTGAAACTTCCTTTGCATTACAGACGTTTTTCTGCGTAAGTGACTTAACAGAGTTTCGTTGTATTTCAAGAGAAGATGGTATCGTTCGCAGATAAAATTAAAAAATAGAAATAACAAATAATTTTTACAACTTATCTTTTAAAATTAGCATTCC